GTGAGTGCTTGGATCAGTACTGAATGAGCCTACTGGAAACCATATCATGAACAAAACTAACAATATTACTTAGCAAGTCCTTCTGATGAAGCCAGGTACTCGACTAAGAACTTAAATATACTGCCATATTTAAAAAGGAAAACAATTTGATGATGGTGGCACAGTTTTTTTTTTGTTTGTTTCACAAATGCAGATTCCTAAGACCCATTGGAACCTTACTAAACCCATATCTTCAGAGATGATGCCCGGGAATATGCATTCGAGATGCAGTGCTCTCAATGTGCGCTAAGTTTTTATTGCCACTGGTATGAACTCCAAAGCAAGTGACATTTTTATGCTGGAGAATGGCTTCAATTAATTAAAAAAAAATTTAATTCCAAAAATAACAATTTCAATTAACCTGTGCTGCCTTATGCTTAATGACATATAGATGCCCCAAATAGTAAGGAATACCCCAGTGACAAGTACATATAAAACACTTAGCTGAGAGTGAGACTGACAGGCACTCTTAAGTAGAGATACTACTTTAGAGAAAGGTGTCTTTTGGGGCCTCAAATGGAATAGTCTTGAGATGCAGAGAACAGTCTGGTTGAAGGAAGACGACACACTCAAGATTCAAAGGCAACCCAGGCATTGGGAGGTACCTGAAATACCTTCAAGTCTGAAGATTTTCAAACTGTGTTCCAGAGACCACCAAGCTTCCTTAAATGTTATTTAAAAACAAGGTGGAACCTAAACTTTTAGTGTTGGGGCTTTCCTCACCCGAGTAATTCAACCTTTTAACTGTTTTACATATGGGGTTTGATCTAGAATTCTCTTTGAAGAAAGGGGACAGGAGATTTGGAGAGAAATAAATGAAAGGAATGTAGGCAGTCACCAGGTCTAACACATGTTTTGTGAGCATGTGTATACCAGGTGGGCTCAGCGTGAGGCAATGGAAGAACTAACGTGAATAGGGTTGGGCCTCTGCCTGCATCTGTTAAGAATCTTTGGGTACAAGTAGCAGAAACCAGCACCAACAGACTTAAACAAGTAGCAGGATTTGCTAGATCACTCAGGGTAGCTCTAGGATGGATCAGAGAACTGAATAATCAGACTTCCGGCAGGAAAGAGCCATGAGGCTCTAGGGATCTTGGTGAGGAGAACTCACGGATCAACTCCATATGCCTGTCAGCAGAATGACTTTGCTGTAGCCCAGGTGTCATTCCTCTCAAAAGCCAAACACTCTTTGTAGTTTTAGTAGCCTAAAAAAGCTAGAGTCTGATGTGCCCAGCTTGCATCATGCTTACCTGGGCCAAGGGCGTAAGGCTATAGATGGGCTGATGGCAAGGAAGGATGAGTTACACTCCCAGCCAAAGCACACAGCAAGAAGTGGGGTACTTCTCCAATGGCAAAGGGGGTATAGTAAACAAAATAAGGTGGAATGGAAGCTGAATAAGCAAAAAGAACAGCTGCCTACTACATCTCCTGCAGAGAAGGGGAGGTTTTGGAGATACATGTTTTTTGATCTGTCCACCAGTGCCCCCACTCCGTGTCTGAAGCCTTCCCCCTAGTAATCCTTCTCTCCTATGTTGTGATATGGATAGACGCTCATACGTTCTTGTAGGTTTACCCATTCTGGTCATGGTTGATTGGTCCTGGTCCAGGGATGGCCCATTCTGGGCCAATCAGGGACTCTCCCTGGAATTTTAAAACTTACAGCTGTGTCTTTAAGGATTCTTGGTAGCCATTCTTCTCCACATTCAGGAAGCTGACCATGGAGAATTAAGACACAGAGTCAGGAGACAGGGAGAATTGTGGCTTTATTTGAGCCCTTGATTCTAATTGTCCCTGAAGCCAAACTACACACAGTGGCCCTTGTCACTATGGCATAAGGCAATCTAATATTTTCAAAAGACAAGCAAGCAAAACACAATACTTTTTTTTTTTTTTTTTTTTTTTTACCCTTAGTTCAAAGTGGGATTCTGTCATTTTCAACTAAAAGTGTCTTCACCAATAATAAGTGAACACTAAGCTGAACATCAAGGTCATGTGTAGCAAATGCTATCAGAATTATATGATGTTCAGGAGAAACTACCTGGATAATTCTAACAGCTTTTATTTACTGAGCACCTAGCTTGAGTCAACCAGGCTAGGTATCTGACATACATTATTTGATTTAATTTTTGTGTCAGCCCTGCAAGGACATCTTTACCTCTATCTCACAAGAAGAAATTGAGGCAAGAGAAGTTAAAACACTCACACATTATTGCCCAGCTAGGTGGTGGCAAAACCTGGATTCAAATCAGATCCTAGAACACATTCTTTGTCCTGCAGCCAAAAAGGAGAGAGGCACTCTATCCTTTGCAACAATGGACAGTTCCCCCATAGGCTTATCAATTACTACAATCAAGTTGCATCCCTGCTAACTTAGAATATAAAATCTTTCTGGTTTGATTTTGCTGAATCTAGACCTGATGTTAGTTATCACTTCATTATAGCCCATTATTATTTAGGAAGTTGCTGGGAAGTTAAGTTTGCAAACATATTTCAATAGTACCTCAACTCCTCAGGCCACCAGACTGTTGCATTTCTCACAGTGTGCAGTTTTTACAACTCTCTTTTGTTCATTAGGTAAGAATTTATAAGCCTGACACCTTGGCCAGGGAACTGTGCATCACTATTTCTGAGTTAGGGCCCTTCTGGGAGGGTGGTGTGTGCGGCAGAAAGCTTTCTTTGTGCAGTGGGTGGGGGTGCATGTTATTTGTAGTCAAGACGATATCAATACAATAGCCCAAGTCTTCTCTGCAAATTCAGATGGCACCCTAGCATAGGAGAAACAGTGTGTCTGAAGTCAAGAGAAGCTAGAATTTCTTCCAGACTCTGCTTCCACATAGCTGTGTAATCTTGGGCAAGTTACTTCTCCTCTCTGGGGCACATCTGGCCACAAATCAAATAAAAATGTTGTTCTAGATCATTCTGTCCCATTGAATCTTCTCCATGAAATGCTAAAGCAGCACAAGATGTTCTGTGAAAAAGGATTTTGGGATTCAAGTAAACTTGAGAAAAGCCACATTAAAGCTAAATTGATTTCATTACTGAGTTTTCTAGAGACTTGAATATGCTATTTGCTCATGATCCCTCTGCAATACAGAATGCAGTATTGTCCAGATTATTATTTTTTAATAAAGAGATTTGAGCTTTTTTCCAAGAGCAACTTTTAGCATTCCACAGCACATGGTGCTTACTTGGAACACATTTTGGGAAATGTTGGATCGGAGAATGATGAAATGTCTTTCTTTGTTCTTTTCTTTGTACCACAGTAAGTCCTGTTCTCACATCACTGTGCCTGCTGTTCTTATCTGAGTTTTATCCCTTTTGTTCCATCCTAGATCTATCCACTTGTCTCCATTTCCTCTGTGGCCACCCTAATCCAAGCCACAACTATCAACATCATTCTCTCTCTCAGCTGCGAACTGCCCTCCATGGTCCCCTTCTTGCTCTTACTATAATCCTTTCTCCACAAAGTAGCCAGAAGTTTAGTTTTTAGAAAGTTGTACCAGTTCCTTGATGGCTTAAGATGCTACAGTAATGATCTACTGCACTTAGATTGAATCCAAAAGCCTTATAATGGCCTACAAGGCCTTACACAAACCTTGACCCACACTATCCCTCCGACTCTGTCATGTCACTTGCACCCTTTCTCCCTATCCCCCAGTGGCAATGCCTTGGCACCTACTATTTCCTCTGTCCAGCATTCTCCACCCTCAGGCCCTCATGTCACTGTCACCCTGCAGGTCTCAGCTCAGGCATTATCACCTTAAGAAGCCTGTCCCTGACCACTCCAACTGGAGGAGCCCCTCCAACCCCCACTCACCCTTTCACTCATTCCAGTTGGAAAGTATTTCCTCACATATGTGTTAACTTATTTATTGCCTCCCTCCTGTCCTGAAGAATGAAAGTTCCTTAAGAGCAACGACATTGTCTGCCTTGTTCAGGGCCATATCCAAAGAATCTATAACAGTGCCAAGTATAAAATAGGCATTCAATAAATATCTTTTTAAATTAATAACTGCATGAATAGATGTTTCCCCAATTAAACTATTAGTTCTTTGAAAGCACAGACTATGTTTTATACTCTTTCAACTCCCAGCTGTGTAATCCCAAACCTTTCTGAGACTATTTTCTCTCCTGTACAATGGAGATAATGAAAGGCACCTCACAGATGCATATCAAAGATTAAATGAAACTTTCAATACATTCCTAGCAAAAAATGCCTGGCACATAAAGCACATGGATGACAGTTTGATTTCTGTGTCATTCTCCATGGAATCCAGAGTTCCTAATTCAGTGCTCAGCACATAGTAGGCACTCAATAATTGTTTCCTAAGTGAATCATGAATGAAAATATCATGAATCATTTTCTAAAAATCCTTCAGCAGGGCATATTTATGAAGCATCACCTACATGCTCCCAAAGTCTGCCTTGATCATGACAAGTGGGTGGTGTGATGTAAATACGATGCCCCAAACAGAAAATGGAACCCTCTGGAAGGTTGTGGGGACACTCTTCCCTGAAGATTTTAAAGATAAAGAAAAGCCACAGCCCTGAGACACAATGCTTCCTGTGAGAAGATGAATGGAAGGAATGTTGACTGAATTCTTGCTAAGTGGCAGTCACCATGTTGGGCATACAAGATGAGTAAGACACACAGGTTTTCTGTCCTTACAGATCCTGCAGCACAGTGGGAGAAACAGACAAACAAGCAATTTAGAGCAGTAGAGTGAGGGCTGCAAAGGGATCGTGGCACAGAGGAGGGTGCCAGAAACAGGCATAAGAAGTCAGGAAATGCTTCCTGGAAGACATGACGCCCACACTGAGTGGAGAATGAGGAGGGTTTTGCAAGGAGATGAGATGATTGGCAGGATTCTGGCCAGACAGGACCAAGCTGTTGATTGGTTGGAGGGTGCGTGGGAGAGGGACATGTTAAAGATGGCACCAAGGATTCTGGTTTGGGCAACCTGGTGGCTCATGATGCCCAGGTGAATGGTGTGATTCCCAAATTCCTCCACTGGCTGACACAGGCCTGCATCATTTGCCATTAGCAAACTTCGGATTCCTCCAAGTTCCAGCTTTTCAGCTGCATCTTCCACTCTTCCATCATAAAAGTATCTGTTGTCAAAAGCTGAGGCACAAATGGCAAAAAAAAAAAAAAAAACAAAACCTTCTATGTAATGAGAGTGTGTGTATGAGTGTGGGCATGTGTTTGTGTACTGGAATCCCTAGAGGGTTTTTGTAAACGAAGAGCTAACTTCAATGACCCTATTGTGGTAATTAACACACACCCTAAGCGGACTGTGCTGCTGCAGGAAAGATAAGCTGAACTCAGATAGGGGCAGATTTGATGCCAGGAAATTTGTGCAGTGTTTGGAAAGTATAGAAGGTCCTTGAAGTACAGGGAGCATCTGCAGAGAGGAAGGTTGTTTTCAGTAGGAGTTTTGTGTACAGCTTTGGAGCTCACAAAGCACTTTCACAGTCATGATTTTATTTAATCGCCTAAGCATTATAACTGTTCTTGATGAAAGTATTTGAATAATATAAGAAGGTGACACCCCCCGCCCCACCAAATTGCGAGACATAAGATTGCTCTCTTAAAAGTTAATTTCTGGCCAGGCGCAGTGGCTCACACCTATAATCCCAGCACTTTGGGAAGTCCAGGTGGGCAGATCACTTGAGGTCAGGAGTTCGAGACAAGCCTGGCCAACATAGTGAAACCCTGTAACTACTCAAGTACAAAAAAAAAAAAAAAATTAGCTGGGCGTGGTGGCACACACCTGTAATCCCAGCTACTCAGGAGGCTGTGGCAGGAGAATCAGTTGAACCTAGGAGGCAATAGAGGCTGCAGGAAGCTGAGATCAAGCCACTGCACTCCAGCCTGGGTGACAGAGCAAGACTCCATCTCAAAAAAAAAAAAAAAGAAAAAAAAGTTAATTTCCACCTCATCATTAATGGTAGGTAACCATATGTAGAGCCTCCTGAAGGAGAAAGAAATGGCTTCCTATCCATTCCCATCCATACGCAGGAAGGATTATCTAATCCAGAACAAAAAAATGTTGGCAATTATCCTTTAGATAACACCAAGAGAGATAGCTAGAGATAACCAACCCTGGCATTCCAGTCTCATTGCCAGGACATCCCTAATGTGGAGATGATGTACAACAGGGGTCATCAAACCATGGCCCACAGGCCAAATCTGGCTTCCTGTAAAGTTTTATTGGACTACAATTATGCCCATTTTTTTATGTAGTGTCTATGGCTGCTTATACAAAACAATGGCAGAGTAGAGTAATTGCAACGGATACTATAAAGCCACAAAGTGTAAAATATATACTATTGACCCTTTGCTGACCCTGATGTAGAACATTTTACAGCAGCAGACATGGCGAAGACTTTGCCAACACCTGTTCTTAATCCTCTTCTCCCTGGTCATCCCCTACAGTAGGCAAGGCTGATATTTAATCAGTGTGTACTGTTACAAATGTGCCAGTTGCTCATGGTTGGCATCCCTTGTGATTGGATTATGTCTGTGCCCCCCACCCCATTTGTTAAAAAAAATATATCACTCCAATGATAGAAGCTAGAAAGTTAAATTACTCAGTTTGCCAACCTGCCTTGAAGTTAACTGTGACCAGGTGACACAGTTTTAAATAATTAAATGGAAGTAGAAGTTTGCTGAAAAAATTCTAAGAAAGCTTAAGCTTTAGCTTTTTCTCCTTCTTCCTTCCTGGAAAGTAATACAATGCCTGGCACTGAGGCAGCCACTCTGTGAATAAGAAGTAGAATGATAGAAAGAGCCTACGTTCCTGGAAGCATCTTTGAACAATTAAACCAATGCTAACAACTGCCTATATCTGGACTTCTTCTTAGGTGAGGAAAAGAAAAGCACTATTTGTTTAAGCCACTGTAAATTGGGAGTTTATGATTTGTTGCTACACACATTCCTAACTAATACAGTAGCCAAGGGCCTTAGTTATTCTGGGCTCCACTAGCAAATCCATCCATATAGTGCATGGCCTCATCAAGTGCTTCCAATATACTTCCTTGATCTTCTTCAGTGTTTACCATGTATCTTTTAAATAGAATTCACCTGATGAGTGCGCTGTGAGTCGGGCTCTTTGTCCCTGAGCATCCCTCTTGCACTCTCTAGATTTTCCATTTCTTCCTCTGTAAAATAAAGAAGCTAGACTTCAATCTCTATTCTTTCTTCCTAGTTTTTCATTCTATAATTCAGTTAATTCTGAAACAGCATACAGAAAGAATAACGTAACAGCTGCAAGCAAGCACTAAAATATACTATGAGCTTGCTAGCTGCCAGGGCAAAAAAGAAAATGATGATGACATAACTCATTTTTTGATTAAAAAACACAAGTTACACAAGGGATAGTTCTCATTGGCACAAAATCCTAAATGACTTTATAAATAAGATAAAGGACAACCTAACAGGTATTGTCTTTGCGAGTGGACTTCTAAGCCTTCTTTTCAGAAAGCCTAAAAAGAGCAGAGTCAATGCTGGCATATTCATTTGCTCCTCAAAAATGGTCTGTTCATCTATTGGCGAATATTAATAGCTCATATGTTACAGTGTTGTTTTTTCCACTCACACAAATATGATGAGTATCATTTACTAAGCAATCTCAGTAACTAATACACACCAGATATTTCAATTTGCTTCTCCCAAAGCTCAGAGGCTTCCCTTCCTACCAAAAGAAACGTGCTGCCTGTACTAGTAAGTTACTTATATGTGCCCAGTACGTTATAATTAACAAAGTGTCTTACTCTACTTTACATTTGGTCTTCAGGACAATATGTAAGAGGCAGAATGAGAATAATTATTCCATGTTGCAAATGATAAACAGGCTCAAAAAGCTTAAGTGATAAGATATGGTGGCCCATATCAGGTTCAGGAATGACCTAATTCCATCTGGCTCCATGCCTGAAGCTCCTGTAGCAAACACTACCACCTCTTTCCACACCAGGTATTGCTTATGTCCAAATCCTGGCACTTCTGTCAGGGACCTATTCATTGCGTGGCTTCAAACCAGCAGCTCCACTCCACTTTCTTTCTGTTTCTGCTGCTGACACACAGAATCAATGAAGCATCGACATATTATCTCAAATATACAGTCCTGAAGGCAAGTTTGATGCCTTATAATAGCCTTGTTATGGCTGATTTTAAAAAATTAAGATTAGAAACAGGAAAATGAAACAAGTAAAAGATATGAATTGAGTCTTGTTTTGCAGAATCAATAAAGGATAGCCATGCTTCACTGTGTGCTTCAACATCTGAGGCTGACCCTAAAGACCAGATACCAGGCCTCATTATTATTTTTCTGGACCGGGTGGGAGTACAGGCGTTGTTGTTGTTCTTCTTCTTCAATACATATATAAGTGTGTGTGTGTGTGTGTGTGTGTGTGTATCTCCTTATAACCTCATTTAATCCTCATAACCACAAAATGAAGTAGGAACTATTTTTATCCTCTTTTTACAGATGAGAAAATTGAGGCACCAAGAGGCAAAGAAAAATTGACAAAGACCACATACCTAGGAAATAGCCATGCTGGGCAGTACAGCTCCAGAACCCATGCCCATAACCACTACATGATATAGCCTGTACACCAGTGCTGTCCATTCGAACTTTCTGCTCTCATGGAAATGTTCCATCCAATAAGCTAGCCACTAGGCACATGTGACTAGTGCAATACTAGCCATTAGCCATACATAGCTATCAAGCTCTTGATAGTACCATCAAAAAGCTAAATTTCTTATAAGCTTTTATACACTTGTGCAGTAGATGTTTGCAAACTGCTCAGCATAGTACCTGGCATTTAATAGGCACTCAATCTGTGTGAACTACTATTTTAATAGTAGTAAGCATTGAATAAATATTTATCTGCAATCTCTTGTCTGAATTATAAAATCCAAAGAGCTCTGGAAATCAAATTGTGTGTGTGTGCATGTGTGTGTGCATGTGTGTGTGTGCATGTGTGTGTGTGCATGTGTGTGTGTATGTGTGTGTGCATGCGTGTGTGTGTATGCTTAACTCAATTTGGCAGCAAAATGTAAGCTGGCCTGAAGTAATTTGGTGGCACAAACTGACATGAACTGACAGAATGCTACTTATACTGTTACGAATCCTACGTTATTTATTGTATGTTTTACAGCAGAGATATTAATTTATTTAACTGTGGGTGCTGCCCCAAGCCCAGCAGGGGGTGTTATGTAATAAGTAATATATGTATCTTGTTGTCTTTCTCAGAGCTGAATCATTCTACATTTCTGAAACACATTTAGCCCCTATGGTTTCAAATAGGGAATCATGGACCTGCATTTACATTTTTATACCAGGCTAGCTATGATGGACAGAGCAGAGAAAACAGGGCCTGACCTGGAAACCTGAGTCCCCACTCATTGCTCTTGGAGAGGAAAGCAGGCCTTCTCCAGGCAAGCTGGAGCAGAGAAATAGCCAGAGCTGCCCCAGGTCGGGCACAGAGAGGCCTGACAATAGGACAACAGAGCATCCACGACAGATCTCTTCCTGGGGCAGCCACGTTTCCAATCATTGCTTTATGAATCTATTCAATAAGTTTATTTAAATAGTCCTGCAGGGAAAGGGACATGATGCTCCTATTTATTTAGTAAGTTCATTATCGTAGATGTACTTGTGGGACTCTAGACTGATGCTACACACAACTAGCTGCTCCCCTGTGCAGATCCAGGCTCTGCTCCCTCTCACCTTCCTTCTCACCCTACCCCACATTCCAAAATTTGGAAAAGTGGATCTGCCTTCCAAATAGTTCTCTCCATCCTGATTGATGGTCCCAGGGCCTGAAATGTCCTTTACTGGCCTTGTCTTTTGTGATCAGGCATTTTGTCCTGTAGAGATATCAACTTGAAAGGTAATGTAGTGAGGTGGAATCTGGACTTCCTGTATGGTTTGGGGTAAATCACTTAGACTCTCTGAGTCACAATTTGCTCACTCCTAAAGAGTAGCAAGCAATATCCCTTCAAAGGGTTTTGGGAGGAATAAATAATGACCTCAAAGTGCCCTGGAAAAGCATGGGACACTGGAAGACACCCATTGAGGGGTAGTTGATAGATCTAAGCCCCCTCTCAGTGCTCCCTGTTTCTGTACAAATGTAGTCATCATCTTTCATTACAACAAAGAAGAGAAAGCATGAGTTTGGAGTAAGCCTGGCCTGGATTCTATTCTCAGTTAGGGGACCTTATATCAAGCTTATTACCCGTGTGAACCTCAGTTTCCACATCTGTACATGGGAATAATGCTTACCTCTTATGCCAAAACCCTTAAGAAACCAAAGGGATACCAACATGCCTAGAGAACCCTGCACAATGTCTGGCCCACAGAAGATGCTTCCTTCCCTTGTCCACCCTTCCCTTCTTCTAACGAGGCAATGGCACTAAAAGACTATGGCATTTTCCTTCCAACTTTAGCTGCCTAATAATTCCTAACTAAGAATGACAGAATTCAATACCAAAATCAATGAAGAAGAACCATGTGTCCCTTTTTAATCAAAATCTAAAATGAGGCAGCCCTCGCCTGCGGCCACATCAAGGCATAAGTGAGAAAAGAAGCAATGGAAGAGGGTACTTTGCAGTTACCTTCTTTGGAGAAGCAGGAGCCAGGCAAAGTTGGGCTCTGTCTTTAATGATAGGATATAATTCCAATTTCACAACTTAATTATGACTGGATGAAAAGGACAGCATGAAAAACTAGGTGTAGGATAGGGAGTTTCATCTCGTTAGGTTCACTGACACCTCATTAGGGACTTTGAAAAACATTCTGCTTCCAGGCAATTTTGCTACTATCTTGATTTTTTCCCACATTTATCTGGCTACATTTATTTGACTTGACACAAGTAGGAAAATGGGATCTTTGATTTTTTTTCCCAGCTCATCAACTAGCACTTCTATTTCTCCACTTCAAGCCACAAAATTCTTTTTCAGGTTATGATCATCAAGATACCGGAGGATAGGAGCTGCCAGAGTAACCTTCCAAAACATGAGCTGGATCATGTCATGCCCTATGCCAAATCTTTAATGGTTTCTCACTGTCCATACACAGTACCATGGTGTACAAGTACTACCTACTTTTCAGACCTCATTTCCTACCTCCTTCTTCCAAAATGTCTATTCTGACTGTAACAGGGCTGCTTAACATTCTTCCCCCAGGCCCAAGAGAAAATCTTACGATGTTCATGATATTCCCATCTTCTTTCTCCATTTCCCCTATCACCTACAAAAATATCATTTCTCCCTGTAGGTTCAAGTCAAAGATTCAGTTCTCTCCCAAAATTTGCTTGATTTTCCCAATCAGAATACACCCCTCACTCATTCTTAGTACTGCCAGCATGAGGATCATCTGCACCAGGACATCCTGTCATGAATGATGGCCAATAATTCATGTCTGCCTGATCTACCCAACTGTGAGCCCTACCATTGTTAACTTTCTGTTGTTAGTGCAACACACTACACCGGTGTGTCCCAGTCAGTTCCGAGATGTGTCAGAAGTACTTGTTACCTCTAAGATGCCAAGCATGGAATGTACATGTATATTTTTGAAATATACATATATAGAAATAAATATATATAGAGAGAGAAAAATTAAAGGGTTGAGAAGTTCCTCTCTATAGCACCAAGTCAAGTCATGTAACAATATGATAAATACATGGAAGACAAATGGGACTATTCTTGATCATGCTCTGAGGCCTGGGATCCTTTCACTTGACTTTGACGTGCAGCACTGTTCATTGTACCATACCATGGACAAAACAGAAAAAGTCTGGCAACATGTGGAATCAAAGAGAATGTCTTAGTATCTTAAGCACTATGCACAGTTTGTTTATTTGGAGATACTGCCACCATTGCATTAACATTGCATGTTAAACTGACTGTGGACCCTAATCAATTGTTGCAACATGACAAAGGGATTTGGAGTTAGTAGATGTAGGTCTAATTTCCTGCAAATTTGCTGTCTCAAAATAGCAGAATGACTTTGGGTAAGTCCTTTCTTTGAGCCTCCTTTTCCTCAACTTTAAAGCAATAAAGTTTAAAACATAGAGCAACTCCCACCTTGCAGCTTTATTACATGGATCAAATGAGATGATGTATATGGAAAAGGGCTTTGTAAATCACAAAGCCTTATAGCAATGGGAGTTAGTAGTTATTGGTATTAGGAGTTAGTCAAGGGTAAAGTGCATCCTCACAACTGGGTTCTTTGTTGTAAAAAAAAAAAAAAAAAAAGGAATTTTCACACCACAGTAAAGAGAATAGGTTTTGGAGGCTGACCACCTTGTGTCCAAGAATTGGCCCCATCACTTCCTCACTAGGTGATCTTGAAAAAGTCACATAACCTCTCTGAGCTTCATGTCTTCGTATAGGAAAGGGTGGTGACAGGGCTTTTGTGATTATTATTAAAAATCAACACATTTCTGAAGGATAGAGACATATACATGATAAATCACAGCACAACCGTTTAAATATTGTACCAGTTATTGCACTAAGGAAGAAATAAGTTTCATCCATGAGCTGGGTTTAGAGAATGAGTACCAGCTTCCTAGGAAGAGAAGGCAGGAGAAGAATATATCAGGAAAAAAAGAACAGTAAGTGGCAGAAGTGAGAAAGTCCTGAAATCTAATTTATCTTCATTCTGCTTCCCTATAAATAAAATAGGAATAGAAATGTCTTCCTTTCTTCCATTTTTCTGAGATATTCTGAAAATGAATGAGATCCAGTCTTTGTTAAACAATTCACCCCTCCCTAGAGCTGGCCCCTGACTGGTGACTAAAAGGGCAAGTAATCGCCATGACAGCATTTAGGCCCACGGGGAGAGGAAAGACTCCATAGGATGGGACTGTTCCTATCATTCTTCCCACTGTCCCCAGCTGTGTTTCCCAAAGTGGATTAGGATGTGTCAAGACACTGAGAAAGATAGGGTACAGAAGCCCTGTGGTCTCATTGTCTGTCAGAGTCTTCCTGGGCACATTTTCCTAAGTCCTTATTCCATCCGAAAGCATCTTTAAATCCAGAGCTGCAGATAGAATGATAAACTATAGAGCAGAATTTTCCAATTGGTGATGGGGGCAGGGGTTGGAGGGAGATGAATAATAGCTAAGTAGGTCAAAATAAAACTATTTTGGGAGCTCTCTTCTTCTTTTATCAAAATGAAAACAGTTTACCTTGATGAAGCTCCCAAATTTTAGGCAGCCTCATAATTTACCTTCTATAGAAGATATAGTTCCCGTTTGTTCTGTGAAATCACACAGTGCTGAGTAACAAGACTTGCTTAGGGCCCTGGTGTGCCCTTACTAGCTGTCCAATCTCCAGGCCTTTAGCATGTCTGATCCCCAAATTTCCCATCTGGTAAATGAAGAAAATTGACTGATCGATTGGTTATGTCTCTTCTGGCTCTGTTCATAAATAAAGTCTTATTCAATTCATGTCTGAGACTCTGTGCCCAGTACTGGGCAAAGGGAAAGAATCACTTATAAGACCCAGGCTTTGCAGTTATGTATGTGAGAGGAAGACAGAGGTTTGGCAGACACCAAATATCTACATGTATAACGGATGTGCTAGATTCTTAACATCCGTGGTCTCATTTTAAACATCATATTGGCCCTGTGAAGTGTGGGACTATGTGGGGTTGATAAGCACCTGCTTTTACACGTCCAAGTCCAGAACCAGTTGAGAGATGAATACGAAAGTCAGAGAGATAGAGATCAGACTCTCAGCTTAATTACTGATAAAACCTGAGTTGGAGAAAATGCTAGCTGGCAACCAGAATCAAGCTTTCCCCTCCCATGACTACCTTGAAAAGGGACCATCTTCATAAAGGCAAGTAAATAATGCATGTGTCCTGAAATCAAACAGATGCAAGATATATCTCCCAGGGCTGAACGCTGGGATGGTTCCTTCACTCAAACTCAGTAAGCAGGTAAGGCCCTCCTCAGTCCTTTGAGAGGCACGCAGGAGCAAGTGAAGACAGAGAAAAGGAGTTTTCTGCTCCTACTTTTCCTTTCCCGGGGAAGGAATGGAAGATTCTCCTTCTATGAGAATGTGGCCCTTCATACAAAATAAGCAGCCCTCCAAAACTATGATTAATCACATTTACAGAAGCTCAGTGAGGTCAAACTACCCAAGGTGACTCAGTCAGTAAGAGGCAGGGCCAGGGTTGGTACTCATGTCTGCCAAGCTCTTTTCTCTTCCCACTGTGCTGCATGAAGCCATGTACAAATACACACACACACATACAACTTTGGTGCAAGACAGTCAGTGTCATAAGAATCATATGAATTGTAGAAATGACATAGACTATTTTAAAATCATGTAGTGTAAACATATAGGTTTTCATAGTAACTTGTCATCTCAGCATCTCAGTTACTGTGAATATACACATGTATATAAATGTTTGAGTATGTGTGTGGGTATGTTTATCTGGTATCATCCTATAGCAGTAGATTTGGGATGCACGTGGAATAAAATAGTTGCTATCAGATTATATATATCATCTTAGATTTTATATATATATCTCCCAAGACCTTATTTACCCAGACTCATGAACTCAAACAAAGATGGTCAATTACAGATTTAAGCACTAGCACTTTAAATAGTTATTATTAGAAAATAATGCTCTTTTACAATATGTTATTTTCAGCCCTGTTTCCTTAAATATGGTGTACAAAGTCAAGTCATCATTTTCAATATTGGCGGCTACCCTGGGCTGTATTCAGTAATGATTTATGGGCTGTATGTGTCAGGGGAAAAATGAGCTGCCTGTGTCTGCATGAGTGTGCTTTGCCAGGACACTGATCTACCTAAATGATTTTACATATAATAATATTTTGATATCTGCTTTTTTATTTGCATATTTGTGATGAATTATAGGTAATGAGCTAGATACAAAGGCTACCAGAGAAATGATTAAATACTAGGATGCATGATTTCTCTTAGAGTCTCCTCATATTTTATACAAGGAAGGAGTCTAGCATAGCAGTTTAAGAATGTGGACTGTGGAGTCAGTGAGAGCTGTCACCTGTTAGCTGTGTGTCCTTAGGCAAGTGTCTTTGCATTTCTGAGCCTTATTTTCCTTATATATAAAACAAGAGTTATACTGTCACATTCCTCATAGGAGAGCATTCTGAAGGTTAAGTGAGATCACATACATAAAACAATTAGCAATGTCCCCAGTACATGCTAAGTAGTTAGAAAGAGCATGGTAACTGCTATAGTATGAAGCAAACAACATGGCGGTAAGAGATCTGGTTCTAGACTCTGCTTGTCATTGTCTATTATGATTATTGTTGTTGTCATTGTTATTATTATACTTGATCAAGGGGGATTCAAGGTCTGATTTTCTAACTGTTCTGGGATATGTATGTGGTAACAACAGATAGAAATTATAAATTAAAATAAAATGAAGCATTTTACTAGGAGCTTGGGTTGCATGAAATATTAATTCACTGAAGAAGCATTTAAAAGAAAATTCAATGGTCTTGAAACACAGCACAGAGGTTCAGTAGGATTAGGCAGGAGTTCATTGTGTGGGATGGCTTTACTAATTTGTTTCTTTATTTGTACAATGTAAAAAACATAAATTTTGGTTCAGTTGCATTTAAAATTCAGCAAATTTTATCTTAGTTTAGTCCAATTTTTAGTTAATATAGGTTCCTTTCATTCATTTAAGAAATCCCTCAGTACAATAATAGTGCTAATATTATTGATAACAATAGTCATAATATTTATATATCACTTTACACTTTTTTTTTTTTTTTTTTGAGACAGGATCTCCCTGTGTCACCCAGGCTGGAGTGCAGTTTTGCAAACACAGCTCATTGCAGCCTCGACCTCCCAGTCTCAAGTGATCTTCTCACCTCAGCCTCCCAAGTAGCTGGGACTACAGGAGCATACCACCATGCTTGGATACTTTTTTAAAAAATGTTTTGTGGAGACAAGGTGCCACTATGTTGCCCAGGCTGGTCTTAAACTCCTAGGCTCAAACAATCCTCCTGTCTCAGCCTTCCAATGTGTTGGGATTACAGGCATGAGCCACCATGCCCAGGTTCACGTTACACTTTTTATGGGACATTTAAAGGCATTCTCTTCTGCTGATCACTATCAGGTACAATCAGCTCATTTTATGGATAGGAATACCAGAAAGGTAAAGAAAGACAGAGAGGCGCGACTGGTTACGACAATATCACTCCACTCATGCTTTGGGGTGGAGGG